ATGCTCGCCCCTTTCGGCCGTGATGGTCAATCCCACTATCGTTGGTAAAAGAGTAACCTAAGAATTGGCGGTGGGTGGTGATGACTAGCTGCCATCCCTATAGTCTTACACTACTCAATTAGGAATGGCTAGAGCAGATAGCCCTCGTGTAGCTTTTCACGAAATTTAAAACAAACAAACAATCACCTAGGTGAATAATGTTTGTTGTTGCACCATTAAGTTTTTTTTATATAACATGGTTACCAGGGTTGAAATTTTTGATGAGCAAAAAAATATGTACGTTAAAAAATAGTGAGAAATTTACCAGAAAATATTAAAATAACTTGCTTTTTCAGTTTTCTTAATATTTGCTTATTATGGAACGATACTGTTGTTTATCTGCAGCCCATTAAATGGGAACTGAAGACTAAAGATAATGTGCCACATTAGCACTACCAAGGAAAATTTCTGTAAAAAATGTGTTACACAGTTAATAAAAGTATTTAATATTTCCTACAATAACATCTTATGCAATGTACAAGCTAAATGACCAGGTCAGAGATCAAAGGTTATGGCTTAGCCGTCCATAACTTAGAAAGGTTGAACAAAGAAAGGGTCAATCAGTCAGCAGACCAAATATTGAGGATTGATTGTTACTTTTGTAATGCACCCATAGCAGCATATTACAGGCTCAAACCTTGGACCTTCTGATCCACAGCCTAAACACTAGATCATGCATGTTCCAGAAATAGGAAAAGAACCTGTTAATATGTAGTGGGATGTTATATACCACAAAATCTGTTTCTTTCAGACCTATAAATGTAGTGAAGAAAACTATATATATATCATGCTTACAGAGAACAAGATTTACTACAGAAAGTAACAAAATATACCAAAATAAACACTTTATTTACAAACGTTTTGTTATTGAACTAAATGAAAAAAAAAACCGGCTCACGATGTCACAGTTGGTAATAAATTAACATTGTGTGAAATAAAAGATGGGAGACGTCTTAAATGGGTAATGAAGAAAACTTTAATATATAGGTACGAAGTTCCACAAGATTATGGCACCATCAGGTACAAGTAGTTTACAGAGACACATGAATATATATATATACAAGATAATTAAAAATTGTTATTTTAAAAAGGGGAATAGGGATCGTCAAAAAAGTACAGACACAAGTGGAATCAAAATGCAAAGTTTATATTTTCAAGTCTGCAACTGAGGACTAAAACTACAAATCCCTATTTTGACTCCACTAAAATTGGTAAGTACTGTAGACGTGGAATCAAAATACAAAGTTTATATTTTCAAGTCTACAACTAAGGACTCTAAAACTACAAATCCCTATTTTGACTCCACTAAAATTGGTAAGTACTGTACACGTGGAATCAAAATGCAAAGTTTATATTTTCAAGTCTACAACTAAGGACTCTAAAACTACAAATCCCTATTTTGACTCCACTAAAATTGGTAAGTACTGTAGACGTGGAATCAAAATAGGGATTTGTAGCTTGAGAAAATAATGTAGACTATTTCCAGCCTAGTTTGTTTACTTATTTTTTTAAGAGTCCCTACACACTAAGCAAATAGTCCTACAATCTCAGGTTTGAATAACATATTCATTTGGTGTTTAATGTAGGCTTGTGTAGCAAGAATAATATTAATAATAATATGAAGAAGAAATAGATGAATTTTGTCTGACAATCGGAAAATCAACTTTTTTGCTATTATCAATATTTAGTAGCCTTAGCCAATGAGATAGAAGGTCTTGAGTATTGTTTCAAGAATTCTTCATTTTAAGATGGTTTTTGCCCTATGTTCTAGTAGGATTTTTTGTGAAATTATTTGGCGATCCGTATTATGAACCACTATTTTGGTTCATGACAGTATGGAAAAAGAGGTCATATGACCTGAGATTGCTTAACAGCTTTATAAAGGTATCCTGGTACCCTGGGGTGTTGGTTTAGACACTTTGAGGTTTGGCTGATTTTTGTTTTTTTTTCAGTTAAGATAGGTTCCTTTATTTTGAATTTGTTGTTTGGTTCTTGTTTTAAAATTATAAGTGTCTTGTATAGATGTACTGCGGTTTTTTTAGTTGCAATAATGGTAAACATGGGAGGGTTTTTTTTTATTATTATGTTCGGTGAATCAAGTTTCTGTGTGAAATAGCTGTACTAGAATTTAAAGCTGTGAAAAACCTTTAAATTAAAAGCAATTCCAAAGATCCACGCTAGTATGAAAATTTGAAATATAACGAATTAATAGACGTTAGAAACAATGGATTTTGTTATTTGTTTTAAGTATTTCTCCGAAATATTGCATATATTTCCATAGTACAGAAACTCTTTTAAAAAAAAGTCGTCAGTTATAACAAGTATATTCTATTATGATTACGCTGTAAGTCGTCAGTATGTTTTTATAGGCTAAAAATTTGTGAAGTTTGAGAAACATAATCTCAAATTACTGACTTGTTTTAGTACCTTCCACTACCGACAGGGTTCGTATATTGCATCATGTTCAGTAGGAATACGTTTTCTGCCTTTCAAACACCAAGTGCAAAGGAGTTACAAATACAGATGGGATATCTCATTTTCTATGTAAGATACCTAGGGGCCCGTCAAAAGGGGAGGGAGACAACCGAGCGCCGGTTGAGGGGGGAGGGGTTATATATTTGAATATTTTTTTAGTCTACACCATGATTTCTATGCTTCCAAATCATATCACTATAGAGAAAAAAATTGCATAAAAGAAGATATGATGAATGTGTATATCTGAATTAATTAGAAAATTAAACGATTAAAATAGGGCCGCCCGATAGCTCAGCTGTAAGCCTGAGGGCTTATAATGCTAAAAATAGGGCTTCGGTACTCGCGGAGGACAGAGCACAGATAGCTCATCATGTAACTTTGAGCTTCATGACAAACAATCATTCAAATAGGTTTACTGTATTTTAATGGAGGTGAATAAACCTTCTTCATGGGTGACATGTGAGGGAGGTTGTTTTAAAGTGGGGTAAAAATAGAAAGGTGTTTACAAAACAAATCCTATTAGCGTGCTCGAAATTTCTTGATTTTGATCCTACATTTGTAATTCTTATTTTATTATGGACCATGCAATAAACAAACAATTTTTTTGTATAGATGGTTGGCCTGGTGAATAGGGCTCTCAGCCCATAATTTGTGGGTCGCGGGTTTGAATCCAGTCGCCGAACATGTTCACCCTTTTAGCCGTGGTGACATTATAATGTGTCATTTAATCTCATTTTTCAAGCGTCGGTGGTGGGTGATGTTGATTAGCTGTCTTCCTTTTAGTCTACAACTTCTAAATTAGGGAAGACTATCGCAGATAATCGTCCCTAATTTTGCGCGAAATCCAAGAATGAAAATAAAGTTTAGAAAAATATTTGTTATATGTTACAAAGGTCGATTACGTGAACTCTACAGAATAAATATGCACGTTCCTGAATTGTTTAACAGTAAATATAACGTGTTTCTCAGCAAGAGTATGATTTAAGCTATGTAGTTCTGGTATTCACCTTACGATGGCGAGTTAATGAATGTCAGAGGATCCCTGACACGTGGAAAATTGACACTTTGGAGCTAACGATTAAGTAAACTAAACAGTTCACTTACGAAATATATAAAATTATGAGGTCATATTTGAAGGATTTAATTTCTTATACGTAACACTTTTTCACAAGTTTGTGTGCTACCTTGTAACTATTCAGTGTTGATGCTCCTTACTGACTCAGCGGTAAATCTGAAGGCTTTCGATACCCGTGGTTGGCACAGCAAAGATAGCCCATGTGTAACTTTGAGCTTAACAACAAACAGTTGGTGATAGTGTTTTAATTGTATCCATTTCCAAATATTTTTATGCGCCCGGCATGGCCAGGTGGATAAGGCGCTCGACTCATAATCTGAGGGT